CTGCCATGATGTTTTTGTAACCCACTCAGATGCTTCTTACATTTACAAACCAAAATTTGGAATTTCAAAATTCTCTTGTGTTTGTTTGATACGGAGGGATATTTTGAAATTTGGATCAGATACGTGGAAGAACCAGTTTAAAAGGAATCCTAGGAATATATATATATATATATATAATTAAATAAATAAAAATTTTGTAATTGATGCTTTTAATCAATGTTATTTACATTTAATACATTATAATAAATAAAACGATAAACAATAAAAGATTAACTGATAAACCATTATAATGACGATATTAAATCGGTAAATTTATAATATATATAAGCTTTATAAATGATGATTATTTTCATTTTTGTAATCATTCTGTTATTCTGTAACTCATCCTATAATCTATGATTTAGTTGCCATAGCAGAAAGTTAATTCTGTGAAAATCATTGTAAAAGGAGGCACCGCTATTCCAGACTATATATGGTTAACAATTTCTCCTTGTATCGTCCCTGACGGTACAGTCAGGAAAACAAATTGACGACCGTGCCACATTTCGGAATAACCTCTCTCAGATTTTATTTACTGAAAATCGTGTAGAATTATCATTTGTTGGTTATCTGCAGGTTTATTTAGAATTAAAGTGTGACAGTATAGTGCCGATTTTCTATATAACGTAAACAATCCACCTGACCTGCGGCCAGTGCGTCTAACTTGCTCACGGTCCGTCATGGGGTCATGAGTTAACAAATAACAAGTGTCACACTCATTATTGTTATCGAGCAATAAGAAACCTTAAAAAAAATTGACCGTAAATATAAATGTATCCTCACTGTATCTACCCTATGAGTAATACTTTACTTTTTCCAATCCCGTTAAAATCATATTTTTTTCTCGTTTTTGTTTAACGGTTGTTTTATTATTTTGAGATTAGAGAAAATGCCTGCTTTAAGGGAACCGCAGTCACTAAATTTTGTACAGTGGCTCGTGCGCACAGCCGTTTTCGTTGTGTTCTTCGGTCAGTTCAAAATCTTTACTTATTTATTAGTTTATATTTATTTATGTTACTCCAAAATCTAACGAGTCTAAGTATAATTTAAACGCGTTCTATCTAGCTGGTCAGTCAGCTGCGCTAAACTTTTCTCAGTTCCTTAGTCTTTTACTTTGGCCATTTTCACATAGCTATTATCATAGTTACATTAAACATACCCAAAGATGTTTTGGTATTTTATTGGTTGCGATCAATCAGTTCTTTGCTCCCAGTAATTTTGTGATTACATTGGACAAATCTGCCAAAGGTGTTTTAAAACAAAGTTGGAACGGAGCTAAAGTAGAACTAGATATGCCTGAAAGGCTTATATTAATAGCAAATCATCAAGTAAGATTTAATAAAACAAATTGTTAATTCCTAGAAATATAAGATGAACGTTTAAATTGAGGCTAATAATCTTATTTATAGATATACGCTGATTGGTTATACGTATGGTAAAGCTTTTTCTTGTAATACCGTTGAAATAACGGTTGATTCTTCTTGTAAGCTTGACTCTAACAAAGATAGTTATTGGTTCTATCAACTTCTATTTATATTAGGGTTTTCACATATTTAGCTAATGCTCATGGTGCCATTAAGATTATATTAAAAGATTCCCTAAAATGGCTACCAATATTTGGATGGTAAGTTTTGTCGGTTCATTAATAACGTTAATATTATTCAATTACTAATTCAAATTTTTTTTTATTATTATTATATAGGGTAAGAATTTACATATGATATTGTTATTAACTAATCTAAGAGATTTGTTTTAAAAAAAAAAAAAATCCTAATCCAGAACTCGAATATATTCGTCATCTTTCAATTATGTATTAATTTCGTATTTTCCCCCTCATTTAATTAGGGTATGCGATTTTTCCAATACATCTTTTTGAAACGAAATTGGGCAATTGATAAAGGTCCATTATCAAAGACATTATCAGATCTTGCTGTTTCCAAAGAACCCTTATGGTTACTTCTATTTCCAGAGGGAACAGTGGTATCTGATGTGACGCGCATATCTTCAAAGAAATATGCAGAAAAAGTTAGTTTGGTATGTATGTCGACATTATAAATTTTTTTATGTAATGTAATTCGAGATTAAATTAATTCTTGAACATCTTTTGTAGGTGGATCATGAGCATGTATTATTACCACGATCGACGGGATTACATTTTTGTACTAGATCATTACATAAATCTATTGATTATATATATGATCTAACTATTGGGTTAGAAGGAGTGAAGCGAGGACAATTTCCAGAAGAAATATATACATTGAGAAAAATTTATTTTGAAGGACAATATCCACGTAATATACATTTACATGTTCGAAGATATGCAATTTCTGAAATACCTGAGGATGAGGATAAATTTACTGAATGGTTGAGACAAAGATGGATAGAAAAAGACGCGCTAATGGAAGAATTTTATACAAAGGGACGATTTACAGGATATGAATCACCAAGAATTATACCATTGAAATTAAATAGCGTATTTGAATTGACACAAATTTGGTATTTTATTGTACCATTAGTTCCTATAATGTGGTATTTTTCTAATTATTTGTTTAATAATAAGTTTACATCATCATCATTTATTTAATAATATTAATGTAAAAACGATGTTTCCGAGAGGTTTTGTCTTCTTTGCTTTAAAAGACCTGGGTACGTTGCATGAAGATTTAGAAAAAATGTATTCTTTTTGATCTTTTTTTTTAATCGATGTTTTTTTTACGAATATTCATTTATATTGTTTTTATTATAAATAAGAGCATAATAATTTAGTTTTATTACCAATTTTCTTTTATTTTGTGATTATTTATTGATTGTTTATTACATATATATTAATAAGAATTTTTGTATTCTATTATGTAAATAATGATATTTCTTTAATGATTAAAGAAATTAAAAAGTTATCTACTGTGTGTAACTTGTTCCTTAATTTTATATTATTAAATTTAAAATTACGTAATTTAACGTTGAATCGGATTCAAACCAAAATAAAATGACAAAAAATAGATCTACCATTTATAGTTGAACAATTGCGACGTCAATTTCTCTCTCTATCTTCCAAGAAAGTTTTCTAAAAAGAATGGAAATGTTTCGAAATATTAACGGTTAAAAATGCGGCTTTAAAGAAATTCAAAAAAAATGTAAGTGGCTTAAATACCTGCATAAAGATAATTCCGTTATTGCTTTAATGTTGGCTATGTAAAAAAAAGAATGAATATAAAAATTGATTTTAAATAATGCACAGCCACATTGATTGCTTGATAAATTATGTAACAAGTTACGTAATGTAATTCATTTTACCTTTACTGATAATATCAAATTTTACTTAATTCAATTTGTTAAAGTCTAAGCAAGTATCTAAGCCCATCGTGCACCTGATCTTCCGAAAAAAACAATGGGGCTTAAGAACAAAAAACAACAAACAATGAAAATTCAGCCTAAAAGAATTTTTAAAAGATTTGAAGCTTAATTAAAATTGAAGAAAATACTATTTTCCTTTTCTATTTTTTTTTAAAAAAAAATAACCAAAAAAGAATCGACGATCTAGTAGTTTTGGAATAATTAATAGTTTTATAAAAAAAAAAATATTATTATTTATAAATGAAATAATATTATTCGCTTCCATGACTGAAAATTCCACCACCAATGTATATCAAGTTTGTCAAGCGAACCAAGATTGTTATTATTCAATCCTTGGTCAAATATGTTTAGGAAATAGATGTATTTTTAGTTGTAATGGCGACTTAGATTGTCCTTCAAATGGAAAATGTTTATCCAACAATTGCGACTGGTCTGGGAAACCAATACCACCAATATCACCATCATTATCACCAAATATGTCACAAAAAAATTTAGATACTGATAATGGAGGATATAAATTAAATTCACCAATTGTAATAGCAGCTATTATTATGACTCTTCTTTTAATTATTTTTGGTGTAGTTATTCTGTGTTTTTTTGTTTTTCGCCGTAGAGATTTGGCTAAATCATCTCGTGGATTAAAACCTTTACATTTATCTGGATCTCGTACTTCACTTAGAAAAAGTAAAAGAGATTCAAGGGAAAAAGAAAGAGTATCTAAAAATTTTCAACATGATGATATAATTGGGTCAGAAATTGGATCAGATGATGAGGGAAAAGAAGATTTTGAAGAATCATATTCTCCAGCTGCTGTCGGTTCGGGTACACATCGTCCGCCTGTACGTTCTCAAACTATGTATGGAACATCTACTCCTTCAACAATTGAATTAAATGTTACTGATTATGATTATCCACCTGTTTTACAACAATCAACGCATTTTATGGCTTCTCCTGATGATGAACAACTACAACAACAACATCATCATTATATGGAAGGTGATGATAATCAACAACAATAACGGATATCGGTGGAAAGTTTGGGAAGGTGGGAAGCATATTTAATCAATAACGAAAGAATGTGCGTTCGTTAATTTTGTAAATATTTTCTTGTTAGAGCCAATTTATTTATTTCTTCGAATAATATATCTATCATTTACATGATAGTTACCTATTGTATTTCATTTTAAAAAATAATTTAAAAGAAGAGAATTGTCTCTTTTTTTTTCCTTTGAAAATTTCTATAATTTGAATTGATTAATGTAATCTAAATTACGAGACAATTAAGTAAAACATCGAGTTAGAGTCACTTAATAAAATAGATTAATTAAAATCATACGCATAAAATGCCCCCCTTTTGCGATAGGGAAAAAAAAATCAAAAAGTCGAATTTGGACATATTTTAGTCCGAGGAACATTATTTACCTAAACTATATAAGGTAGTTTCCTCTTTTTCTTTTTTTGTTTTATTGACAAAAGATACGCCCATTTTGTAGTTATCAGTTATTTATTCTTGATGAGATTATCGTATCTCTTTCCCGATTTTTATTAAATAAGCAAGTTTTTTTAATTTTTAAATAATTTTATTAAAAAAAATTACTAGATCATTTGACAACATGGCCGAGTGGTTAAGGCGTCAGACTTGAAATCTGATTCCCTATGGGAGCGCAGGTTCAAACCCTGCTGTTGTCGATTAATTCTTTTCAATCCCTTGGGAACATTATTATTTTTTTTTTTTTGTGAATTTTTATCATGTTACATATTATAAAATAAAATTAAATTTATACATGTAAAATTTTCGATATATTAAAAAAAAAATAAAATTAATTTAACACATCCTATTTATTTTTTTTATTTTTATTTTATTTATTTTTTTTTTTACACCCAAAATGAATTAACTTACATAAAGCTTTACATAAATAAATAAACATATATATATATATTTTTTTTAAAAAAAAAGGAATTCTAAAATAATAAAACAACAGCTACAATGATAAATACAGATAAAATATTAAAACTAGATGTTAAAGGTGTAGCAGTGGACATTGATTGAGTCATTTTATTATCATTAGCAACAGGTAATGGGGGTGGAGGACTCACAGCTAATTTTGGACTATTCGGTAACCTTGGTTTATATGGAGTTGGATTATTTGCTGTAGTATACCCTAAAGTTTCTAAAACGCTTAATAATTTTGGACCAATAGGATACGTTCCACCGGTAGCGGCAAGTACTTGATCTAAGGTTTGACCACGTTTAGCATTAAAAACTTCCAAAAAGTCACTATTATTATTAAAAGTTACAATATCTACATGAGAAATAGAAGATCCTTGTTGAAAAGGGTTTAAATTTGTTTCTAAGAAAATTAAATCATCCGTATTTTTAGCATTATGAGGTTGAAAAGCAAAAGTTTTTGTAGTTTGACTATCAGCAATTAAACTACTAGAAATTTGAAATGATGGAGAATTTCCAAATGTATCTAATAAATCTTGTACATTTTGAAATTGAGTACCAATTTGAGCAAAATTGTTCAATGAACTTGCATAGTCCGTCATTCTTTTCGGAGATTGTCCTTTTATTTTTGCATTTACCATATATTTATCAAATGCAGTTTCTGTAAATCCTGTAAATGTTACAGGTTGATTTTGATCTGTTAACATTTCAAGAAAACTTGGATCAGTAGTTAAAGCAATAGGAGTATTATCACCGCCAGTAAAATAACTATTCCAACTAGAAGCAAATCCAAGACCATGAATAAGTTCATGTAAAATAATATATTGAAAATCAAATTGAGTTGGTTGAATTTGAGTGTCTCCAACGAAAAATAAATTAGCTTCAGCATTAAAAAAAGCTTGAATATCAAAAGGTCCCCATTTAGGTGGTGGTTGTAATAAAAATTGTTTTGCTAATCCTTGTGGATATTGTCTAATTACATTATCATCATCTTGTAAAGGAACTGTTCTCGCTGCACTTGCTGCTCCAAGGATTTTACCACCACATTCTCCAAGAGCTTGACAAAAATTGGTAAATGTAGCATTAACTCTTAATGGAGTAGTAAAATTTACTACATTTGCTATAATTAATCCCGCTGATTTAAATGTATTTTCTGCTTTACCACATAAAACTGGATCTGAAACTCCACAAGAAAAAACAAATTGAAATGCATCTTGTGGAGCTAAAAAGGCAGCTTGATCATCTTCAAATTGTTTTCCTTTACCAATTCCTGTTGTTAATTTTGGGTTTTTTGGTACGTCTTGTGTACCGCATTCTGATGAAAGCGTTTTCTCCCATGGTTTAAGTGGATTAGGATGTTCCCAACATGCGGCATCTACTTGAATAATAGATTCAATGCTAATATATAGCAAGAGCGAAAGAATAAGTGAAAATGATGTTTTCATGTTTTTAATTATGATGTTTCGGTTGATGATATTAAATGATATTAATGATTTATAAAAGATTAAAGGGAGAGAAAACAGGGCTTTCCAGAAGTCCTGTTAATATGATTTCCGTCAAGGAAATTTTAAAAGAAAAAATGAGAGGATTGTCTAAAAATATATATATTTATTTATTTATGACTGACCCTATGTAAGATAAATAATAAAAAAAAAAAGAAACGATTAAAAAAAAAAAATTTAAATACTTTGATCTTGAAGCTATTTATTTATGTAATTTTTTTGTTCAATATAATTTGTTTCATATTGTTTCACTATAATTAATTTTTACTGATGAGTACAATTAATTTAATATATTTTATGTCCAATTTTGGTATGGTAAATCTTAATAAATTCCGCAGGTTTAATTTATTCTTATGTTCTTCAAAAGGGTGTGTGTTACATGTTTCAGACCGACCTTGTTTGTTGTTATTTTATTTTGTGAAGAAAGGACACAACGATACTACAACGACAAGTTTCTAACTTTTATTAGATTTAGTTTCTATTTTACCCCAAAGAATAAAATTCATTAAAAGTAACTTTGATTTGTATTGTATCACGTGGAAAAGTAATAATTGGCCTAACTGAATTTTTCCTTACATACGCCAAGATTTTTAGTATACCTAAAGTAAATTATTATTGAATTGAAATTGAATAAATTGGTTCAAAGTTTTAATACATGTTTCTGATATCCCTGAATAATTATTATGTATTACACTTCGATCATATCCTATATACACTATATACAGTAAAAGATTGACTTGTCTTTCTTTTTCGATCAATATGCGCCAAGACATGTCGTCGGGATTTTTTTTACATGTTTATTATTGTCTTTCTTTTCGATCATCATACGTGCCAAGGATTTTTCGGATGCATAAAAAAGACTCCGATTAAAAAATAAATATTGTTAAAAATAATAATATATTTATTTGTAAAGTATTATAAATAAATATGGACTATAATATATTATAAATAACTACTAATTAAATGATTATGAATTACATAATAATCAATAACTATAATAAAATTATCGTAAAAAAAAAAAAAAAAAAGGAATATCCATATTTAGCTTGCTATTTTTATTGTGGGAAAGTCATACTAAATGGTCCTTCCATACATCCTATTACTGTTTTATCAGCGTTAATAACTAAAATTTAATGAAAAAAAAAAAGTTTATATAGTTAATATCAAAAGTTTTTAATCATTTTTAATCGATTATGATAATTTGTATAATTTATTTACCTGAAAATATAACATCAAATGTTAAGGTTTGACCCTTAGGATCATTAGGACTAGAAGGAGGAACAGATGTTGAAGTAGAATTAAAATTTCCAGGTTGAAGTGGACAATTTTCTCCATTGGTTTCAGAAATCTTTTTACAAAAATCTTCTTGTTTAGCAAATACTTGTTTACCATTGGAAAATGCTTTCACTGTTGAAATTGCTCCCTGTTCTATTACTACAGTGCTTGTACCGGCTACCTTCGTAACTAAAGTCTTTCCTATAACAATTGGATTTGGATCGAAACTCAACATAGTATAAGTAATGGGAAAAGTAGATCCATTACAAGGTTTGAAACCACTTAAAGGATCATCCCGTTTCATCATTGGAACTGCTAAAGTATAAGATGAAAGGAGAAAGAAAAGGGCGATAAAAGTAATTTTGTTCATTTTGTTTTTATTTTTATTTGTTTGTTAAATAGATTTATTTGCGATTTGTTTGTTAAATTGATATATGTTTTAGATATTTTCTTTTCTTTTCTTTTCCTTTTTTTTTTTTTGAGTGAAGGTTTTCTTCTCCTTTTATATACAAGAATTATATTAATGACGTGAACATTCATGATTCTTCAGACTAGTTCGAATTAGAAAATTATTTTGTAATATATCTATTAAAAGCAAAATAATGAATTGTGAAAGTTAGCGATTTAGTCTGTTAAAGGCAAAATAACAAGTGGGGTAATTTTGAAAGATTGTTCTCTATTAAATGATGAATTTAGCCAAATAGAATAGCCTGATTATAAACCCATTAAAAGAAATAAAATATAACTGTGTAAATTTGGCAAATTTGGCTAACTTTTTTTGGATAAACCAAAATTCTTGGCGGAAATTCCACAGGTAATAATGTCGTAATTAATGCTTAACGAAAAATAGAAATTTTGAATTATAATACATAATTTATTTATTTAGAAGTTTCTCAGAGAACAAAAACATTAAATATTAAGTTAAAATCTAAAAATATAATTTTTCTAATATACAAACAATTAGAGTAATAAAGATCATTAAACTAAAATTATTTTGAATATTTTTAAATGATCCACTAGAATCATTTCCTTCTTGAAAAGGACTAGTTGAATCAGTTGGTGAAGGGGTTGATTGTGATGGAGGAACATCTACAACTACGACTGTGGTAACAACACTATGAGATACTGACTCTACTTGTGTTACAACATTTTGAGTTTTAGTTTCAATTACGCTTGAATTAAATTGTTGAAGTGTCGTTGTAACAACCGCTGCGACTGTTGTTGTAACTTGAGTTGTAATAGCAGTTGTTATGGCTGTCGTTACAGTCTGTGATGGAGAAGGTGGCGATTGAGATGTTGGTGAAATGTTACAAACTTTGAAATTATTATTTGTCGTTCGTTTTGTAGGATATCTAAATAAATTTATATAAGTTTGCGTAAGTTTATAATATAAAAAAAAATTTTTTATCTTTTATAAAATTTGAAAATACCAATCAACTCACCCTAAAGTTTCCAATATAGTCATTAATTTAGGTCCAAGTGGACTTGGAGATTTCCCCATTGAATCTTCAAGAGTTTTACCATTTGCAATAGGTGAAACCATTAAGAAATCATCAGTTGCAGCATAAACACTAGCATCAAAATTATTGATACTAATACCGTTTTGATAAGGATTTAAAGAAGTTTCTAAAATGATGATATCATTAGTAGATAGAGATCCTCTTGGTTGAAATCCTAAAGTAGATTGAATAACAGAAATATTCGCCATCCTTTGAGCTGTTACAACTTGTGGGGATTGAATGAATTTCGTAACGAAATCGACTTGATCTTTAAATTTGTTATCTGGTATTTTAGCAAAATCATAAAGTGATTTTGTATTTTCATTAATTGTTTGAATTTGATTACCACGTAATACCATATATTTATCAAAAGCGTATTCTATAAATCCTTTAAATTCTAAATCGCCACCATTTTGTGATAAAGTTAATTGTGGAGTTAAAATTTTAGGAGTTACGTTAGCAAAA